TAAGGTTTCCATGAACATTCGGCAATTAGTTTGTACCACTTGTTAGATTAAATTTAATTCTCAGATCCAGTTACAGACATGCACGGAACGACACATGTGTTAATTGGTCCCACATGTTATGTAATTGATTCTATGGGATGGAGAAGTTCTGAAACCATTCAGAATACATTCATCCGTCATCATTATTATTATTATTATTATTATTTTTCATTTTTCCTTTTTCCTGTTGATCATATCATCCATTGAAACCGTATACTAGACAGCACATCTAAACCAAACCACTAATCAAATTAATATTCATAAAAGAAAATGATTAGCATATATTGAAGAAATTAAAATCAAAGTTATTACATTAATTAATGACGAACCTCCTAATTAAGCCGTTCAAAAAAAATGAAAATGATGTTCCTCCTAAAATTATGTACATAATATGCATGTATGCATCATGCCTACATGTATTTAATTTTATGCACCTATGCACTTTGAGCAGGTGTGTGTGTACATGTCATACATGAGATGCGATTATAGTGACTATATGTAATAACATTAAACACATGATACAAATTAATACAGGTAACTAAGAATTAAATCTCTTGTAATATAGGGTGATCAAAATACAGATCCAGCCAGTTCGGAGAAGTGCTGCCATTGTAGCTAGAAGTGGTGCTTGCTCCGGCCGGATTGCTTATGGAAGTCTCTGTCACCGTGGGAGGAACAGGTAGAACCCAAGGCGATGTCGAATCAATTTGCTGGTGATCGGTAAAACGGCTACAGTGGCCCATCCGATCGCCATTCAGAGAAGTTTGAAAGTTGAAAGGGACCTGTGGTTGGTCTAATAGACTTGGATGGTGGAGTGGTTGAGGGGTAGCATCTTCATTTCCAAATGGATTAATCTCCATTGTTTCTGTTGAAGTTAGGACAGAATTAGGAACCCAAGAGTTCAATAGATTCAATGCTTCCACATCGGTTGGACTGTTACTATTAACATTAATGTTGCCCATTGATGTTGCAGTTTGGGAAAGGCATTGTTGTAGGTACTGAAGCTTATTAGCCAACTGAACAGATTCCGTCTGAAACCGGACAGCAGGTTCATCTAAGTGAAAATGGTTCATCTCCACAAGGTCTCTTAGGTTGGCTAGGGCTAGGAGTTGGGGTAAACAGGCAAAGATGTCTGTCCTGGGTTGATGGGTCATTGGGTCTATACCCATCTGGATAAGCCTCTTCTTCAAATGGGTGTTCCAGAAGTTCTTGATTTCATTGTCAGTCCGCCCCGGTAGGTGTGTGGCAATTGCAGACCATCTGTCACAAAGATAATTAACGAGATTAGCTTAGTCGAGTTGGCACTTGGCACTCATCACCCCTCTAATTTAATTAACTTGAATTCTAATTAAATCAAATTAAGTACTCAGGAAACCTAGCTCTGTAAATACTTAGACACACCAATTGCTCCATGTATCTAAAAATAATGTTTAAATTTGAGAAGACAAGGTTAATTAGAGATGTTATGATCAAATTAACTATTAATTACTTGTTTCCAAGGATGGAATGAAGATGAAGAATTGTTTGCTCTTCGTCTGCAGAGAACTTTCCCCTCTTGATATCAGGTCTTAAATAATTCGTCCATCTTAACCTACAGCTTTTTCCACATCTATTAAGACCTGAAATGGAGAAGCAAAGCAAAATGAAGAGAAAGTGAGAAAGAAACCCTCCAATTGAGAGACACAAAGGGAAACAGAGACGAGAAGTATCGGTGATTGATTAATTATTAGTTGTTGAAACTCCAACCTGCAAGTTTAGGGAGGGCTCTCCAGCTTCCATGGCCGTGTTTCTGTATATGCTGCACAAGCTTTTCATCTTCTTCAGGAGTCCAGGGGCCTTTCTTGAGGCCATTTTCATCGCAGCAAGGAGATCTCCCCATGAAATCTAGCAATTAATCTATTGATATTCCTATAATATATTTTGGTATGATGTGGCTTAATTTTGCTTCCTCTCTGGCCACCAAAACTGCTGAGGCTTACTATATATTTATATACACAATCTTTGCTCTTGCTTCTTTCCTGAGTTTCCTCCATCACTCAATTAGTAAAATATTTTTCCACACTTTTTGTTTGGCCAATCACGATTTGGATACTTCTCCATCTTGTCGCAACATAAGAAATGACGTTCTTTTTTTCTAAAATGACATATTTGTCCCCCTAATTTTTCCTCTTTTACAAGAAGAAAATGAGCTCTCCTTTTATTCTTTCCGGTAGTTAAGAATCTAAGTTGAAGATTTGAAGTTTAAAGACTGAGATGAGTATGGATAGGTGTTGATTAGAAATGTTTATTTTTTATTATATAGTTTATTATTTGATATATTAAAAAAAGAAAAACAATGAACTTGTATTTTCAAATCCCTTCCAAACTATTTTAAAATTTAAATCTAAATAAACATTTCACTTTAATATTAAATTCTTATTTGTTAAGACCACTATTTACATATATGAACTCTCCAACTAAACAAATTATAAGTTTTTTTTATCTAAAAATCACATTAAA